AAAAAAAGGAAATTAATGTCAGGCTTTTGTTTAAAACCATATTACTAAAAACATCTAGAAATTTCATTAATATTATACCCAGTCTCAAGATAAAAGCAAACTCCAGTTATTCCTATTAATCTTGTAGCACAATTCTCAAACACTTCAGCACTCTCTGTACCCTTTTGCCTTTTATAAGGTACTTTAAATTAGCTTATTTTCACATTATAACTTGCAACTTCCCACACAAAGGAAGAGAAATCTATGTACTTGACAATAAATTCAGTACAACAGTTAAGAGGCACTGAGTAAACTGGTACCCAATGGAGCTGCTCCAAACCCTAATTCCAAACCTTTCCCACTCTGAAATACAAAAAGTATGTCATCTGGAGGATTCTAAAATAGCTCAACTACGGGTATCCAAGACAAGAAAGTTGAACTCCCCTTAAGCTGAGATAGAAACAATGTTATCTGTGACCCAATTCACAGCAGCTTGCAAAGTGCTTATGTAGTTCTCCTTTTTTCTAGGAAAAACACTTAGCCCTGCTTAATGACAAATGCCAACCTACAATCCCAGCACTGAAGAAGCTGAGACAGAACTAACTTCACAAGGAGTTCAAGGTCACAGGGCTATATAATGACATCCTGTCAAAAAAAAAACAACAAAACAAAACCAAAATAACACTTCCCTCCTTTATCAAAACCTATAGATTTAAAAAAAATCGAGAAGGCTGGGCTAGAGAGATGGGTCAGCGGTGAAGAGCACTACCTGTTCTTGGAAAAGACCCAGATTTGGTGCTCAGCACCCACAGGACAGCTAACCACCATTCCAGGTCCTGGGAATCCAGCACCCTCTTCTGGTCTTCATGAGCATGGCATACACAAAGTGCACACAAAAAACACATTCATAAAAATAAAAATAGGAGCTGGAGAGATGGTTTGGCAGGTAAAAAGCACTGGCTGCTCTTGCAGAGGACCTGGGTTTGATTTCCAACACCCACATAATAGCTAACAATGATCTTTAACCCCAGTTCCAGGGTATGTGATGCCCTCTTCCAGCCTCTACAGGTTTTCACAAAGGGGTGGGTGCATTTACACCCAGGCAAAACACTCATACACATATATTAAAAATAAATAAGCTGGGCATGGTGGCACACGCCTTTAATCCCAGCACTCGGGAGGCAGAGGCAGGCAGATCTCTTTGAGTTCAAGGCCAGCCTGGTCTACATAGTGAGTTCCAGGATAGCTGGGACTACAGGGAGACTGTGTCTCAAAAAGACCTAAATAAATAAATAATAAATAAACAAATAAATAAATAAATAAATAAACAAAGTAGCTAGGCACAGTGGTGTACACCTTTAGTCCCAGCACTAAGGAGGCAGAGGCAGGAGGATCTCTGAATTCAAGGCCAGCCTGGTAAGTTCCAGGTCAGCTGGAGCTACAGGGAGACCCTGTCTCAAAATGGACCAAAAAAATAAGTAAATAAGTAAATAAAAAGTAAAATATTTACTTGTAATACAATTCCAAATGAAGCCTATTATAAAATAACTCAAAGAAAAACAAGCTAAATAAAAGTTAAGAAGACTATTATTTACTCACATAGTATATCAGTATTTCTATGATGTTTACAAGTTTTGTTAAATTTGAAGAATTAAGGTTCACAATTCAAGAATAAGTGGAACACTTCAGCAAAAAGGTCCTTATAAAGGGGAAAGATATACTAGGGGAGAAAACATTAGAACCATTCCTAAATTCCTTCCTTTTAAGAAAGAGATCACATAGGTTAAATCATTCTTTCAACTTCTAACAAGTTTAGATAAGGGAAAAATACATAAAGATTCTAGAGAATAAAAGGGGGAAAATTATATCTAGGATATACATCTTAGGATAGCTGCATGTATGTACACCTGAGTGAAAACAATCATTCAACTAAGTTGATAGGCTCTCTCCTTGAAATTATTCTAAGCTAGGTATGGAGAGATAGCATGGAGGTTCCCAGCACTTCTTGCAACAACCACCTGTAATTTGAGCTCGAGGATATCCTATGTCGCCTTCTACTCTCGTTACATGGTGCCCACACAGACAAGCAGGCAGGCACACACACCTATCTAAGATAACCAAAATTTCATACTTTAAAAAGTACTAGCACTATCACAGGCCTACGGAAGTAGCTCAACTGATAAAGAGTACTTCCCTAGATTGCATGAGGCCCTAGGTTAGATCCTCAGTACAAAAACCAAGTTTTTGTACAGATTGTGGTATATTCCTACAATCCCAGCACTTATCAGACAGAGACAGAAGGATCAAAAGTTCAGTCATCTTCATACATACACTTCCTACATAGTGAGACCAAGGCTGGCCTGCATTACATTGAGACCCTGTCTCAAGAATCAATTATACTTACAGTTGGAGCAGGAGCCATTATACTCATTGGTACAGGTATCATTGGGGTCCCTAGAGCAGAAAGAAAACATAACATAGTTTAAGACTACAATTATATAACTATAGAGCTGGAGCAACATCTTAATCAATAATATGTTTATCACACAAGCTTGAGGAGCTGAGTTCAATCCCCAGATTCCCCTTGAAAAGTAAATTCCCCCAACAGCAAAATAAAAGGAGGTGGAAGGAGACAGAGACAGGCAGATCCCTAAGGCTCATTGGCCAAGCAACCTAGCCTGAACTGGAACTCCAAGTCTCAAAAAAGCAAGAAGGGGGCTAGCAAGATGGTTCAGTATGTAAAGGCTCCTGCCTCCAAGCCTGACAACCTAAGTTCAATCCCTGGAACCCACATGGTAGAAGAAAGAGAGAACCCACTGCCACTAGTTGCCCTCTAACCTCTACACTGGTTGAGCACTGGTTGAGCTTGCAAAAGGAGCCTGGTTCAGTTCCCATCACCCACATGGTGACTAACAATGATCTGTCACTCCAGTTCCAGGGGATCCAACGTCCTCCTCTCACCTCTGTGGGTAACTCTACAACACAGGTGTACTTACATACATGCACACAATATATTCGTACACATAAAATAAATTTAAAAAAAAAAAATTTAAATCCAAAGAAAAAAACAAGGTAGACAGTTCCTAAGACCCAAGGCTGACCTCCGGAGTCCACATGAACACACACAAACACCTGTGCACACACATACAGAACACAAAAATAAAGAAGATAGTCAGCAAAGCCCTACGTTCAATCCTCAAGACTGAAAAAATATTAATTCCAGAAAATATTCAGAGCCAGGCATGTTGGCACAACCACATGTAATCCCTACCCTTGTGAGGTGGAGGCAGGAGGATCATGAATACAACTGTCATCTTTTGCTACATGCCAAGTTCCAGGCCAGCATAGGCCACCTAAGACCCTACCTCAACTTCTCCTGCCCTCATAAAAAATAAAAAAGTAAAATATAGAACTAAATAAAAGGTAAAACATAGGATGAGGTGACAACTGCCTATCAGCACTTGGGAAGCTGAGATAGGAAGACTGTCATATGTTTAAGAGGTGGTAGATGCCTTTAATCCCAGCACTCAGGAGGCTTGACACAGGTAGATCTCTGAGACCAAGGCCAGTCAGCTCTGCATAGTGAGTTCCAGACCAGCTGTGGCTATAGGGAGACCCTTTCCCAAAAAGATTTTTTAAAAAAGAGAAAGAGACTAGCACGGGCTACATAATTCCATACCAGCCTGAGCTACAGAGCAATACCCTGTCTCAGAAAAATAATAAAACAACCAAGAGATAAAATATACACAGAAATGGAAAGTAGCTTCTTAAATTTATTCATTAAAAAAAATTTTTTTTTTGGTCTTGAGACAGGGTCTCCCTGTAACCCCAGCTGTCCTTGAATACACAGAGATCCGCCTGCCTCTGCTTCCCAAGTGCTGGGACTACAGGCGTGCACCACCATGCCCAGCCTTCAATTTTTAGTATCTGGAAAGATAAATTATGGTTTCTCTTTTGCAGGGATAAGCTAGTAACAACTATGATGGTGATGTAGGTATGTGAGGGAAATTTCAGCAAAACTTTCTGCATTTTTGTTTTTTGTTTTGAATCTTAATGAATGGAGCACTTTAATTTCCAAGATGTCTGAAACTCAGTCATATATACAAAACTTCTGTCCAAATAGGTGCAGTGGCTCACAACCGTAACCCCAGTATTCAAGAGCCTACAGGACCAGGACTGCTGAAAGTTGAAGGCCAATCTGAGCAACACAGAGCCTGTCTTCAAATAACCTTAATGCCACAGGAAAATCAGACATCTGCTTCAGCAATGACACTAACATATCTTTACTAGTAACGAAGTGATAAATGTATCATCTCCCTAAAGTTTTTATCACAAACACTAAGGTACAGATTTAAAAGAATTAATTGTAACTAACTTACCTGGAGGTACAGGTGGAGGGAAGCCAGGAAACTGTGGGGGTGGGATCCCTGGAGGGAGTGCTGGGATTCCCATGGGAGGACGATTCAAATGAGGGGGGAAAGACATTCTTACTGCACCAGTCTAAAGAAAGAAATGACAAATCCTTTTATTTGAAACCTTTCCAATTTGATGTGCCTACATTGTTGACCTTCATTTTTAGAGTATCTGCAAAATTCTAAAGTTTTCTTACCCAAAGGAGTTGGCAAAGACCCTCTTTTCTCTGTCTGTCCATTGAGAATTTTTAAAACTTAGATCTTTTCTAAAATAAGTTCCCAAAATGTACACGAACTAAGTTCAGGATAGACTCCTACAATCATGTGGGAATACATATAAAGGAAGAAAAAAATTTTGAGGTTCAGTTAATATCAAAAAATTAAATGCCAAACATCAATGAATCTTTTCAAACAAACTCAGAATCCAGGAGGATAGCTTATTTAAGTGCTCTGATACATTTTTTTATCTCAATAGCTTACTAAAACTATATTCACAAGGTTACACAGTACTTGAGCTCTGGTACTTGAGGACTCAGTGAGCCAGTTCTTCAAAGATAAATGTGTCAGTAAATTACAAACCTGATGGGGGAAGGGGCACTCCTGCTACCAGATCACATAGTAAATGCTCCAACATAAAGAGCCCACAACTTATATCAATAATATAACAATATTTTTTGTTGCTAAAGAGTCTCAAGTAGTCAAAACTGGCTTTTGCACACTCATAGGGAAGGATGAATTTGAACTCCTGAGCCTCCATTTCCCAAGTACTGGGATTACAGGTAATATACTACCACACTCAGCTTTATACCTTTTTTTTCCTGAAAGCAAACATCTAGGGAGGCCCAATGGAACAGGCCTGCAGTCCCAAGACCAAAAGGTTTTATGGAAGCAGGAGGATCTCGAGTGAGATACATAGCCAAGACCTGTCTCAAAAATTCAAGGTCTGGGGAATGTAGTTCACTGGTGCAAAGAAAAAAAAAAAAGCATACCTCTTAACCATGTTTGAATTGGGTATCAGTATTTTTTGTGCTATGGATTAAACTCAATGCGTTATACATGATGGGCAAAAACTCTGTCACTGACTTACCCTTGACCCATAGCATCTGATTTTAAGAAATATAAAAACAGAAAACTAGGAAGGGAGGTACTGTGTTTTAAATTCCAGCACTCTTGGGAGGCAGAGATCAGCTTGGTCTACACAGTGAGTTCCAGGCCAATCAGAGATGCATAGTGAGACCTTGTCTCAAAAAAAAAAAAGAGCCAGGAGTGGTGCACTCCTTTAATCCCAGCACTCCAAAGCAGAGGCAGGCAGATCTCTGTGAGTTCAAGGCCGCCTGCCTCTGCCTCCCCAGGGCTGCGACTAAAGTTGTGCACCACCACGCATGTCTTATTTTTATTTTTTTATGTGAGTGTTATGTTTGCATGTATGTAAGTGTATCTATGTCGAGCAATGCCTGCAGAGGTCAGAAGAGGGTTTGGATACCCTGGAACTGGAGATACGGACAGTTGTTAGCTGCCATGTGGGTGCTGGGAATCGAACTTGGGTCCTCTGCAAGAGTAGCCAGTGCTCTAACTGCTGAGCCATCTCTCCAGTCCCTAAATCTGTTGTATTTTTATACTTTGTTTAAACTAATGTTTAAAACTTTTCCCTCTCAATTTTTTTCTGTCAGCATACTTAAGCATCTAGCTCTATTGGAAAACAATATTAGCATGTCCTAGAAGGGGTTCTATGAACCAACTTCAAAAAAGAAGCCAAAATAGTGAGTTGATCATTGATTCCACTAAAATTAAAGGTTTTTTTTTGGTCTTTTTTGAGACAGGGTCTCCCTGTAGCCGGCTTGCCTTGAACTCACTATGTAAACCAGGCTGGCCTTGAACTCAGAGACCCACCTGCCTCTGCTGAGACTAAAGGCATGCACCACCACACCTGGGTAAAATTAGATTTTTAGTAAACAGCAGTTATTTCTGTTACAACACTTGAAAGAGTTCTTATACCTGCAACTGATATGAGTAAGAAAGTCTAAAGCTGCTCAAAAACAGTTTTCAAGCAGGGCATGGTGGCACATGCCTTTAATCTCAGAAGCTGGGAGGTGGAAGCAGGATAGAGGCCAGACTCTGCTACATAGCAAGTTTGAGGCCAGCCTGGGCTATATAAGACCCTGCTCAAAAAACCACAATTTTTGTTCCCAAAGTCTATCTTTTTTGGGGGGGGATACAGGATTTCCCTATAGCCTCAGTTGGCCTGAAATTTGTTATTAGACCAGGCTGACCTCTGTCTCATAGAAATCCACCAGCCTTAGGTCTGGGTTTGATAAAAGCAGCAACCATGACATACTCTTTTTTTTTAACTCACTCTTCAGTACCAAGAAGATAGCAAAGTCCCAAGTCTGCTTTGCTTTCTCCTTTAATTCTACCAGTTTGCTGATAACTGTTTTGTAAATATATTCTTATATACAAATGTTTAATAATTTATGCTTTGCTATAGTGTACTCATACTATACTATTACTTGCATTTTTCCTACACTGTCACTGACATCTCATGTCTTTATAAAATAGTATATTATAAGACAAATAATACAGTGATAATCATTCAACCAACATTACTTGTTGGTTCAGCTTTTTAGCCCTTTCAAATAACACTGAACATTCTCAGACATTTCACTCTATGCACCTCTGCGAATAATTGGGTTTTTAATTTTTTTATATTTATACATTTACTGAGTGTTGGGTGGTGGCATGTGTAGTAGTCAGAGAACAACGTGAAAAAGTCAACTCTCTCCCTCCATGACCTAGGTCCTCAGGATTATACTTAGATTGTGAGGCTTGGTGGCACCTGCTCTCACCTACTGAGCTATTTGACCAGCCTACAAATGATTCTTAATACAGATTACCACTCTTTACATCCAAACTATTTCTAAATCATCCCCCCAAACCAATGCATACATATATTTGCACTTCCAGTGTATGAATATGCTGTTTCCTCACACACTATTAGAATAAATCAATTAACTTCTAAGAATCTGATGGGCAAAAAAAACAGCGCTATCTCAATTTCCCTCATTCCTATAAAGTTACTATCTCTCTTTACTTTTTTTGTTTTGTTTTTGTTTTTTTGAGACAGGATCTCCCTGTAACCCCAGCTGTCCTGGAATTCACTATGTAGACCAGGCTGGCCTTAAAAGCGTGCGCCACCATGCCCGGCTCTCTTTACCTTTTTATTACACATTTCTTTAAACTGAAAAGCATTATCTTCCATAGATTGTTTGACTAAGTATAAGAGCTGGTAAGGTAGCTCAGCAGATATTCTGAGGTAGCACCTCCTACCTCACAACCTGAGTTCAACTCCCCCTCCAAAACCCACATAGTGGCAGGAGAAAACAAACTCCTACAAGTTATCCTCTGACCTCCAAGTATGTGCACTGGGACACAAGCCCACACACATACACAGGCAATAGTAATGTACCTTAATTTTTTTTTTTTATTCTATAAAACCTGAACTTTGATTTCAGAAAACACCATATTCTTATTTTCAAAGTGAAAGAATTTCTAGAATGATTCCTATATTTAGCAAAAAAGATGCTAGAAATGCTTTTAAAAGTTTAAGCAGGTATCACAGCATGGCTTACAAAGGAAAAACACAAGGTTCTAAAACTTTGTATGTGTTAAATTTATGTATGTTGTTTTTTTTTTAATGACTTTTTGAAGTTACCACATCAAGTAATGGGTTTCATTATGGCATCATCATACATGTGCTATGGACGACACTATTCTCATTTGTTCCCCTCCCCCACTGAGTTTCTTAATGATCTCTGTAATACAAATATTTTATATGGAGAAGTGCAGGAAGGTGCATCTATTAAAACAGAGAAGGCCACTGTCCTACTTACAGAAGCTCTTGTATTATAATAATACTCTATCTCAGCACTTTCTTAGGAAGGCAGTTGGTATAGTACCTGTTGAATAAATAAATTAATTAATGAATCAGTAAGCAATGTCTAAGGACTCATCGACAAATTTATTAACAGTTACTACATGCCAGGTACTATGCAATCAATGGTCCAGTGCCTAGCTTCACAATGGTACAAGATTGAGCCATGAATTCATTTTCAGAATCACTTTTCTCCCACCAGTATTAGATATAAATAGTATTTTTAAATAAAGCTATAGTCTTAGAGGTTAAGCTACATTTTATGATTTTATAATGAGAAAAATCAACCAGATATTTTATTTTCACCGATACACATTACAGTCATTCCTAATTTTACTAAGAAATGCTTCCCTTTTATTTAAAAGTATTCAATACTTATCATAGGCTAGACACCAAAGGTGAAAGATATTACAGTGAATAGCCAATTTTATGATTAGTCCCTTTTTAAGATAATGGCCCCTCCTTAGGAAATTCAGAAAACATTCCTGATGATCTGATAAATATTACTTTTCACTTTAAACACTTCATAATCAACAGTTTTATGTTTTGGCATGTGAAAATGAGAATGCATTTTACAACCATAAACAATGCATACCAGTTCTAAGTTAGAGACAGCTGAAATTGGTTAATGTTTGCAGAAAAATAAAGCAGGGAAAAGAGCTTGGGGGTGGGGGGATTTGTGTGGTTTATTTTCAGTTCCAGTGATCAGGCCTCAAAAGAACAAACAAATTTGAAGATTTAAGAGGCTGAGGGAGGAAGCCCTACTCTGAGGGAAGAGCCATGCAAACAAAGGAAATGGCAAATACAAAAAGCCTTTGGGGGAAGACCAGAAAGGTCAGCTGTACCTCTAGAGGAGAAGAAACAGAAAGTCGGATAAATGCTGAGTATTTACCTGTAAATGGGGAGTGTTTAAAGAGTACAGGGCTTTATGCTACACTGTTAAGGTTTTGGTTGGTACTTTTAATGAGATAGAAAACATCTGAAAGGTTTCTCTGGCTTGACTTAAAATTTAACACAATCATCACCCTGTTAATACTGAAAGGGAACAGGACGGAAGCAAGAAACTACTGTAATAATCCAGACAAAAGACAGTGGTCTGGAGTAGGTAGTAGTGGTAAAAGAAATTAGTTAACAAGTGGTTGGAATCTGGATAAATTCTAAAGATAGCCTAAAGAATTTCCTTAAGGGATGTGGGGTATGAAAGAGATGTAGGTGTTAATACTGCAATTATTTAAAGAGTATTAAGTGTTAATATTAAAAAAAATATTAAGTGTGAGCGGGCTTGGTGGCACACGCCTTTAGTCCCAGCACTCGGGAAGCAGAGGCAGGTGGATCTTGGATCCAAGGCCAGCCTGGTCTCCATAGTAAATCCAGGACAGCTGTGGCTACAAGGAGACCTGGTCTCAAAAAAGACTAACAGCAACAAGAACAAAGGAGAAAAATATTAAGTGTTAGGGCTGGAGAGATAGCTCAGTAGTTAAGAGAACTACTGCTCTTGCAGAACACCCAAGTTCTGTTCCCAGCACCCACATATCGGCTAACAACCACCATTCACAACTCCAGTTCCAGGTGATCTAACATCCCCTTCTGGCCCCTGTGGGCACTGCACACATGGTGCACTTACATGCAGGCAAAGGATTCATACACATAAACTATAAATAAATTTTGAAGATTAAAAAAAATAAAAAATAAGGCCAGACATGGTGGCACATGCCTTTTAATCTGAGTACTGAGGAGGACGAGGTTGTAGAGGCTTAAGCTATACAGGGAGTTCCAGGCCAGCCAGGGCTACATAGTGAGCTCTCATCTCAAAACAAAACAAAACAAAACAAAACAAAAAAACAACCCTGTTTAACTTTTTGAAGGTTCAAAGTATTTTTATCTGCTAAGAATGAAACTTCATAGCCCAAATTAACAAAGGCAAGCATCTATGGTAGCATCCATCATAGCTTCCCAATAACTACCTAGTGTGGTGGTAGTCATGGTAGTGTATGGAAGAACTCACTGAAATAAGAAACGGATATATTTAGTCAAAACAGAAAGCAGATCTAAGATCTATGTATAGTCAACATATACATGCACTCTGCTTTTCTGCCTTACTTTTTCTCTTTATTTTCCAAATTATTTTTTCTTTATTTCTAGGAATACAGATACTATACAAAATATAATCAAATATCCCTTATAAGCATTCCTCCACTGCAGACTTGTCCAGTTAAAAACAAACTAGGGCAATTGAGCATGGTGGCACATGCCTTTAATCCCAGCACTCTGGAGGCTGATGGATCTGGGAGTTCAAGGCCAGCCTGGTCTACATAGTGAGTTACAGACCAGCTGGGACTACAGGGAGACTCAAAGACACACACACAAAAACTAGGAAAGAATAGCTCCATCAGGACTATGCACCAAATTTCTGAAATGGTAAGAATGAATCAAGAGATTTCCATCAGCACTCATGCAATAAGTACCTAGTTCCAATTATGTGTCAGGTTCTCCTCTAGGAACCATCTGTATTAGTGACGAAAGGATGAAATTTATGTTACTATTTAAAGGGTTACAGCTAGTCTAGTAGCTCCAAAATGACTATAAATGACAATGTAACATTAACTGTATCCTGGCCTGATAGATAACTGCCTTACCCTAAGCATGGGTTTCTAAAACACTGCTTCATAGTCAGAATTTACACAAAACTAGACTTGGCAGGAACCATTTCTACAAAATAAATAAATAAATAAATAAATAACGCCATGGCAAAAATGGCAAAAGACTAGAAAATGTTTAAAAGAAACATTTAAAAAAAAAAAACTTTTCAGCAGCATGAAAATAAAATACTAAACAGTTTGGGGATTTGTAATAGGGATAGGCCCTGTCAGGCTAGCACTGGACAGAGAAAGAGAGTAAAAAGCAGACAGACAGGGAAGGGAACTCTTAAGATATCTCAATCTCCAATGAGCTAGCAGATCTTTTCCTGAGAAATTTCCATTTTTTTTTTTGTTTTGTCTTTTTGAGACAGGGTCTCCCTGTAGCCCCAGCTGGCCTGGAATTCGCTATGTAGACCAGGCTGGCCTTGAACTCACAGAGATCTGCCTGCCTCAGCCTTCCAAGTGCTGGGATCAAAGGCGTACGCCACCTCAATGAGACAAAAGCAACACTACCTATACAGGCACATTAGTGGCTGCCACAAACTAGGGTGGAATATAGAATGATTTTCAAATAGGCAGAAGGGACACTTTTGGGTAATGACTCCACAACTCTGTACACCTTAAAAAAAAAAAATCGCTGAGCTTTATAAAGCTATTATCAATTCAGGACAACTATCAAAATCTAAGGTATGAAGATTAGATAATATTGTACCAATGGTAATTCTCTGATTTTGATTACAGTACTATTTTTAAGTAAAAGAGAAACAATTTCCTTACTTTTGGGAAATATACTTTGGTATTTGTGGGTTAAGGAGTATCACATCTCCAAGTTACTAGCAAAACATGTCAGAAGGAAACCACTGAGAAAGGGAAAAAAGCAAATTGGTAAAATCTTAACAACTAAGGAACCTCAGAGTTAAGACAGTTGAGAATTCACTGTACTATTTTGGCAACTTTGATAAATCTTAAATTCTGTAAAATAAAAGTAAAAAGCAGTCTGACATGATGTTAATGTGAGGTGGGAGGATTGCCATGCCATTAAGATCAACCTGAGCTAGATACATACTGTGCTCCAGGCCAGACTAGGTAAGAGTGTGAGACAAGAAAGACAAAGAAAAGAAAAGAAAAGAAAAGAAAAGAAAAGAAAAGAAAAGAAAAGAAAAGAAAAGAAAAGAAAAGAAAAAGGAAGGAAGGAAGGAAGGAAGGAAGGAAGGAAGGAAGGAAGGAAGGAAAGGAAGAGAAAGGAAGGGGAGAGAGGAGGAGAGAAGAGAAATAAGGAAAGAGGGGGAGAAAAGAGAAAGAAAAAAGAATACTAATAATTCTGAGTAGTCTTTTTTTTTTTTCTGCAACAATAAACAAACAAAAAAACCCACACACACAAGTGTGATGATACATGCCTGTAATCCCAGCACCTGGAAGGCTGAGGCAGGAGGATCTTGAGTTCCAGATCAGCTTGGGTTACCATAGTGAACCCTGTATCAAGAAGCAAGTATAAAAGGTATTCAAGAAGGTTTTAAGAGGGGTTGGAAATGGCTCAGCAGTTAACAATAGTGCACTGGAACACTGGCTGCATTTGCACAGGACCCAGGCTCAGTTCCTAACACACACGCAGCTAACTTCTGTCCATAACTCCAGTTCCAGGGGATCTGACAGCCTCTTCTGACCTCCATGGTCATTGCAAGCAAATGGTGCAGTTACATGCAGGCAAAACATTCATACACATAGAAGTAAATTAAAAAGATTAAAAAAATACAACAAATGGTTTTTCAAGATGGTGATTTTTTTTTTGGTCTTTTTTGAGACAGGGTCTCCCTGTAGCCCCAGGTGGCCTGGAACTCACTATGTAGACCGGACTGGCCTCGAATTCAGAGATCCACCTGCCTCTACCTCCCGAGTGCTGGGATTAAAGGCATGCGCCACCACGCCCAGCTCAAGATGGTGGTTACTTTTAAAAACTGCTAATAACTTAATGTCATTTTTGCATTCAAAGATATAAAAGTGTTATTTTCCTCAAAATTATGCATAATAAAGGAAAATAAACTGAAAATTTGTCTATAGTCAAAGGGTTAACTTAAAAATAACCCAAATTCTAACCAGGTCTAAAGTCATTACCCAATGTTAACATGTACAGTTCATTTTATATACGTGTGTGTGTGTGTGTGTGTGTGTGTTTATCTACATCCAGAACCTCAACATGGTAGAATAATAAATCACCCAGGTTTAGTTCCCAGGACTGCCTGTAACTCCAGTTCCAGGAGAGCTGATGCCCTCTGGCCTCCAAGGGCACCTGCAAGCATGTGGTGCACATAAACTCTAGCAGGTACACACACACAAATAAAAACAAATCTTTTTAAAAATTGTGATCAATATTACTAATGTATGGTGGTTAAATGCAACAATAAGACAATAAAACATTTTTTCTTAACAGTCTCTGGGTACCCTACCAGAAGAAAGGAAGAAAAAAAGGAAACACATTTGTGATACCCCCACAAAAACACAGTATCCCAAAGTAATGTGATAAAAATGTCGACAGTTTTATTTACTTTTATTTGCAAAAGTCTTCAGTATCTTTTTTAATCTACCAAATTACCTGGTGTACATTTGTTACAGTCTTTACAGATGAAGAAGCTAACTTGTCCAAGGGAACACAGTACGTGGGTGGAGATTCAGGATAGTTCCCCCTTATCCTGAAATTACCAATTCAAAGGCTGTTTTCACTCTACTGCAAGGTCTCTCTCCCCTAATAGTATATCAACGGGAAAGAAAGGAACTTAAAAATTAGTAACTGTGTATTGTCTACTCAGATAACACTAGAAGAAATGTAAAAAGGTTCATGAACCCATAATTCTTTTTTTTTTCTTTTTTTTGTCTTTTTGAGACAGGGTCTCCCTGTAGCTCCAGGTGCCTGGAACTCACTCTGTAGACCAGGCTGGCCTTGAACTCAGATAGGACCCGCCTGCCTCTGCCTCCCCAGCGCTGGGATTAAAGGCATGTGCCACAACGCCCGGCCTATGAACCCACAATTCTTAAGTAACATTAACATGGAACACTGTTATCGGAATATTGCACATCTTACAAAAATTTTTCTTAGTCCCCAACTGTATTAATCTATGAAGTAGCCACTTTTATAACTCTTATTTTACAGATGAAGAAAGCCAAGGCTTTAAAACACTAAACAAGGTCAGGCATGGTGGCACATACCTTTAATCCCAGCACTTGGGAGGCAGAGGCAGGTGAATCTCTGTGAGTTCAAGGCCAGCCTGGTCTACACAGCAGAATTCCAGGCCAGCTGGGGCTACAGGGAGACCCTGTCTCAAAAACAACAACAAAAAAAAACAAAAAGCGGCTAAACGAATAATCAGAATAATGTAACTTCTCTTGGAATCACAAGAATTGATGACCACCTTTTGAGACCTCCGAATGGTTTTGGGGTAGCCTTTAATTTTAAGTTCTCACACAAATAATCCTATTCGTGGTGTGGAAGACTCCATGTTATCAGTCCACAGTTAATATATCAACCCTTCCCAATATATAGACTTACAATTATAATAGTATACAGTGACCCTCTACACCACTTGTGATCTCAAAAAACAGATTTTTAACTCTCTGGAAGAAAAAAAAAGCAAAGAAAGTTCATAGACAATACAAAAATTGTTTAAACAATACTGCCAACTACCTAAACGTCTGCTCCAATCGGCCTTGTATTAAAATGGTTTTTCCAGTCAATATAAATCTATATTACATAACTTCAAAAATAACCTTCATACTCCCTATTTCGAAAAACATATTTAGAGATAAATACTGAAGAACAAAGAAGGATCATAATACACTTTAATGTGAAGGTTGGTAGTGCCTAGAATGAATGGATACAGTTTACTGCATCCTTCAACGAGGAAAGGAGCCGAGACCAAGAAACTCATCATCTTAAGCAAGCTGGAATGGGGCTTTAAAAAACTAAAAAAGTGGTCTTCAGCGAAATCTACGGAGGAGTAGGGCCCATTCACTTGGTGGTGAGCTTTTGAAGACCAAAGAGGAAGAAATCCGTTGGTGGCCAGCACCTCGCTAAAAGAGTGGGTGCAGGCTGGTTCACAGGCACAGCCTAGGGGCCCGTGAATCATAGGCCCGGAAAACCTACCGAGGGGGCATCTTGCTGCCTCGATAAGAAAAGGGCGTCGGGGACCGGCCCCTGCCGGCGAACCCGTGGTTTGGAGGCTACCCCGGAGCCCAGACGGGGCCGAGGCGACCGATCCAAAGTGAAGGGAAAGGGAAAGTGGACGACAAAACGCGAGGAACGCTCAGGACATTGGTCCCGCCTTGGCGGGCTCCGGGGCCCCACGGGTTTTCGAGGCCTTGGAGGAGAGGAAACCCCAGCCTCGTGCCCGTCCCCTCCCCCACCCCCCTTCACCCCCAAAAAAAAACAGCTGAGGTACCCGGTCGACCGGTTTCCACACGCGTTCAGATGCGTGAACTCACCCGCCGCTGAGAAAACGGGACGGCCTTCGCGGCCTCTGGGTGCCAGGTTACGAATGGGCTCCACCGGTTCGAGGTTTCAGCGCGCCTCTCGACTAAGAGACTGGGTCTGAAGCACCGACTCGCATAGGCCGCAAACACAGCAGTGCTGCGCGGGGAGCTTCTGGAGGTCTTCCTCTTGCCCGGCGTGCACTGCGCCAGGGGGCGTGGAGAGGGGAAACCATAGAGAAGATTGGATCTAGATAGTCTCCACTGCTGCCTCTGACTCACCACGCACAGAAGAATAACCATAGAGAAGGAGCTCCTGATGGGACCTAGAGAGGCTCAAGCTGTAAATGACTCCCACCCTGCCATTTTTGATTGGAGCTGATTGAATCTTTTAACTGCGCGACGCCATCTTGAGGTCAAGGTTCCGGCTCGTTACCGTCGCAGGGCTCGTTAGAGGATTTCCCACTTTTTGATGATTCGTTTCCCAGGAATAACCACCTTGTTCTCTTGACTCTTTGAGGTTTGATGAACTGATACCTGGGCGGGACCGAGGACCTCAGTAGAAAGCCCAGATGTTATTTGTCCTTAGAAAGCAACTGTTCACATCAAGAAATCACTGGCAAAGGCTATGTTGGGTTTTTTGAGATTTTTTTTTTTTTTTTTAAGCGTGTATACTCATTAAAACTTACGGGAAGTATATAAATTCAAAGAACTAAGTAGATGTTTGGTACACGTTCAAAGCCTGTAAGAATATTTAATACAACATAGTGTAAGAATGCTAAAAACATTAAATTAATGGAAATGAATACTCAAATTATTGGGCTATTCAATTTATGGACTTTATATGCAATATCTACTTACAGGCCTTTGCTTCCTGCTTCTCAGAAGGTTTACAATTTATAAGGATCTTGCCTCTCAGTGCCTGGTTCTGTGCTAAGCTTTGGGAGTCAGAAGGTTGAGAGTGAGTTATTGCTGTCCTAGGAGGATTGCAGGAGTAGTAAATAGCAAACCCTGACCACCTTGTATAAAATTGAAGCAAACCCACCCGGTTCATTGTATCTTAGTTTTACTCTGGCACATACCATCATCTACCATACCATATGTTCTCATTTTATGATTGGCCTGCCCCTTCCCCACTAGAATGTAAACAAGGAGTACACAGATGATTCATTCCTGTAGCTCCTGTGCATGGAACAGTGCTTGGAACTTAGCAAGTGCTCAATAAATATTTGTCGAGTAAAAGAAATTGCTGTCATATGATGAATACCAACAGAACACACTGCAAGGGTGGCGCTAATAGGAAAGTCCATGTGACAGTACCGTCACCCCTATTTCTGTTTACTAGGTTTCCTTGCTATTAAATAAGGTGAATAATCCTATTTCAACGATTAACCAAGTGTCAAGTGACTTACTTGTTCAATAAAATGTTCATGAAATGATAGTTACATTTTGTAAATAAGAATTTGACTTTTAAAAAAATTTTTTTGTTGTTTATGTGTATGCATGTATTGCCTGCATGTAGGTAAGTGCACCCATGTCATGCAATGCCCTCGGAAGTCAGAAGAGGCTGTCAGATCCCCTGGGACTGGAGTTACAGACATTGTTAGCTGTCATGTGGGTGCTGGGATTTGAACCCGGGTCTTCTGCAAGAACAACCAGTGTTTTGAGCCATCTCTCCATCCCCCATAAGAATTTCTTTTTTTTTTTTTTTTTTTGGTCTTTTTGAGGCAGGGTCTCCCTGTAGCCCCAGCTGTCCTGGAATTTACTATGTAGACCAGGCTGGCCTCGAACTCGCAGAGATCCGCCTGTCTCTGCCTCCTGAGTGCTGGGATTAAAGGTGTGCACCACCACACCCAGCTAAGAATTTCTTAAAAAAAAAAAAAAAATCAAAGCCAAGCATGATGGCACATGCCTTTAATCCAATCCCAGCACTGATGACTGGGGAGGGAAAGGCTGGTAGATCTCTGAGTTCCAGGCCAGCTGGGGCTACAGGGAGACCCTGCCTCAAAAAGACCAAAAAAAAAAAAAAAAAAAAAAAAAAAAGTTTCTTGTTAGAAGAGTTGTACATGAATTCATGATGTTAGTTTGTTTTGGGATTTTTTTTTTTTTTTAAGATGGTCTCACTACTGTAACCTGGGCTGGTTTTGAACTCCTTTGCAGATCAGGCTGACCTTGAAATCACAGGCATCCATGCACCTGCCTCTGCCTCCCAGTTGCTGGGATTAAAGGTGTACCACCACCGCTGCCAAATTAATGTGTTACTTGTATGATAAAATCATAGTTCAATCTGTGAAACTCACATGGTGGAAGGCGAGAACTGACTCACAAAAGTTCTCTGACTTCCACATGTTCACTGTGGGCTACACTCAAGTGAAAGCATATACACATATAACAAATGAATAAATAGATGTGTTAAAGAAAAAATTAAAGAGAATGGTTGTCTCTAACAGACGATTGGCTAACTTTCCTGTAGTGACTTTTGTTAAGTTTACCCAGTGTGATGACTATACTGTAATTGGATGGCCTCTGGAATCATCTCAGAGACTAGCTTTAGGTCACACTTATGAAGGGTTAACTAGATTAGCTTTGCCTCTGGCCTTGCCTTTGAAGTATTATCTAGACTGGGTTAATTGAGGTAGGAAGACCCACCTGTAAATGTGGGCAAAACCATTCCACAGGCTGTAGTCCTGGACTATATGGAGAAAATGAACTAAGCACTAGTATCCCTTGTTTTCTGGTTCCTGCCTGTGGTTACAGTATAAGCAGCTGCCTCAAGTTCCTGCACCAGGACTTCGCTGCCATGATGAACCATACACTCCAACTCTGAGCCTTAAGTAACCCTTTCTTCCTTAGGTTTTTTTGTTTGTTTGGTTTTGTTTTGTTTTAGGTTTTGGTTTTTGTTTCTTTGGGGGGGAGTGAGAATGTTATTTTTTTTTTTTTTGTCTGTTTTGAGACAGGGTCTCCTTGTAGCCCCAGCTGTCCTGGAACTCACTATGTAGACCAGGCTGGCCTCGAACTCACAAAGATCCACTTGCCTCTGCCTCCCAAGTGCTGGGATTAAAGGCGTGCACCACCACGCCCGGCGAGAATGTTATTTTTTAAGGTACTAGCTCACTATGTAGCCCTGGCTAGCCTGGAATTTACAACATAGACCAGGCTAGCCTCAAACTCATAGGACCCCACCTGTCTCTGGCTCCAGAAGACTGCAATTAAAGGGCCACTACCAGCAACCCCTTAAATTATTGTTGTGAGGCTATTTTATCACAGTAACAGGAAAAGTAACTAAAATACCCAGTACCCATTCCCCAGTCCCTAGTAATGGAAAAGAAACCAGCCTTCTGCTTTCGTAATACCAATGAAAATACTGGAACTTGGAAAAAGTAAATAACTTGCTACAGGTTATAAAAAAGGTAAGCAAACCTTTGTCTGAGTTCACACTCTCAACTACAGTACTTCATCCTATTAGGAATGAGATTAAGAGATGCAGGGGACTTTATATTTTCCTCTGAGCTTGGAATGAATGGGAAGAAGAATAAAAACCAAGTCTTATGAGGGCTACTGAGTGGCAGCTTCCTGACCAAAGAAAAGAGAATAGGCTGCTTTTTCTTAGCCTAAGTGAAAGGGATGTTGAACATAACTCTAGACAAAGCCGTATTACAGAACCCTGGAAGATGAGAAGAATGGCACCGCACCATTGGAAAAACAGAAGCCCTGGCCAGGGGTAGTGATGCTTACCTTTAGTCTCAGCGCTCAGGAGGCAAAGGCACGCAGATCTCTGTGAGTTCAAGGCCAGGCTGGTCTACATAGTAAGTTCTAAGCCATCTGGAATTATATAATGAGACCCCTATTTCAAAACAAAAAGTTCTTGGCTGGATCTGACTGACTACCCAATGCATCCTTTTACAAAAGTAAGAGCTGTGCCTTAGTCTAATAAAAATTAAAACAGGCCGGGCATGGTGGTGCACTCTGGAGTGCAGAGCAGGTGGATCTCTGAGTTTAAGGCCAGCCTGGTCTACATAGCGAGTTCCAGGACAGCTAGGGCTACAGGGAGACCCTGTCTCAAAAAAAATATACAAAAAAACAAAAAAAAAACAGAAACAAAGGCAAGTATAAATTCATATGATACAGCCAGGAGTGGTGGCACATGCCTATAGTCCTTGCACTTGGAAGGAAAAGGCAGGAGAATCTCTGAGTTCAAGGCCAGCCTGGTCTACAAAGTGAGTTCCAGGTCATCTTGGGCTACACGAAGACCCTGTCTCAAAAAAAAAAAAAATCATATGAGTGACCTTCTGGACTTTTCTTAAAATAATGTGGAACAAATTTCAAGAATTGCATAAAAACATTCTCAACAGAAAAGTTCAGCCTAACTGGGCACAGTGATGAACACCTGTTCATCCCAGCACTTGCAAAGTAGAGGCAGAAGAATCAGGAGGTTCAGGGCCAGATTGCCAACATAACAAACATGTTTAAGACCCTATTAAAGAAAGGAAGGACTGGGCATGGTGGTACACTACATTGATCCTAGCACCAGGAAGCACAGCTAGGCAGATCTCTGAGTTCTAAACCAGCCTGGTCTACATAGGGAGTTCCAGGCCAGCTGGGGCTACAGAGGACCTGGTCTCAAAAAGAAAAGGAGGGAAGAATTAAGGAAGATAGAGAGAAGAGGGACTGGAGAGAAGGCTCAGCAGTTAAGAGCACTGGCTCCTCTTGCAGAGGACCTGGGTTCAGTTCTCAGCACTCACGTAACAGCTAACAACTGTCCCTAACTCTAGTTTCAGAGGGATCCAATACCTCTTCGGGCCTCCAAGGGCATTGCATACACAGGTGCACTCACATACATGTAAGCAGAACACTCATAAAATAAGAATCAAAAAAAATTTTATGAGGATTGGGCAAGCTGTGAAAGTGGAATATTGAAAAGGCGGGGGAGCTCAGCTAGCTACCCGAGCTTAGTGTGAAAACCACTAAATTTTTTTCATAATTTTGTAAAAGCCGTAAAGGAGGATGAAATGTCGTAGACTACTCATAGAGAAGGAACACAGAGTTGAAAAAAGATGGGAAACCCAAACCAACATGAGCTCGATGCTGCTTTGCAGAGTCCTTCCAGATATTTATAGACTCATTTATTGAAAAGATTTCCCTGCCAGACTGGGACTTTAGCTCAGTTGGTAGAATTTAGTAACCCTGAGACCTTGGGTTTGATACCCAGCAGAGCATAAGAACCACCTTTAAGTCCAGCACTTGGGAGATAGAGATAGGAGATCAAAAGTACAGGGAAATCTTTAACTATGTAGTGAATCTGAGACCAGCTTGAAATACATGAGACACTGTCTTTCTCAAAAAAAAAAAAAGACCAGTTTGTAAGGAACAGGATAAGCCATTCATGTACAATGTCTAAGAACCTCTCACAGGCCCTTGCTGAGAAGGATGGCAGTGGATAAATAACCCCGAGCATTCTGACCCTGCTCCCCAAGGGCACATTTGACACAAATAGCAGCAGCCTATCAGGTGACTGGCCAGGAAAACTGCCTTAACAGGAAAAGCATTCTTTAGCTAAATCAAGCAGATCCCAAGACTCTGGAGGTGGTGCATACCTTTGTCCCACCACTGGGAAGGCAGAGGCAAGTGGATCTCTGTGAGTACCAGGCCAGCCAGGGCTACATAGAAAAAAAAAAAAAAAAAAATTGAAACGGGAGACATAGTAGAGATTATGAATTGATAGCAGAAGAGAAAAGCAATGTTAAGGTAGGTGAGGCCTACTCTGGTCCTGGAGGCTGGAAGGTAGCTCAGTATTAGTGTTTACCCAGCATGTACAAGATCAGTCAGCAGGTGGCCCTGATTGATCTTAGTTACAAAACAAAAGGCAGGGTGGGCAAGCAGCAAAGGTGGGAGGTAGAACTGTTGGGACGTGCCTAGGGAAGTTGGAGGCCTGAGTTGGGGGTGGATAGAATCAAGATACATTGTATTCATGTACAAAATTGTCAAGGTATAAAACTTAAAAAAGAAAATCACTAAGCCTGTTACTTAAATTGACAGGCAGAAACTAAATTCTTTCCAAGGCACCTGAGCTGTCATCAAAACTGCTGGATACGGGCCAGCAAGATGGCTCAGTGAGTGAAGTTGCTTGCCACTCAGCCTGGGACCTCCGCTTGATCTCCAGGACACACACACATGGTGGAAAGTGAGAACTAACTCCAAGTTGTCCTCTGACCTCCATATGTGCTCTGTGGCATGTGTATACCCCCCGCCCCACCCCCAGGTCTTACTATGTAGCACTGGGTGGCCTGGAATTTGCTATGGAGACCAGACTGGCCTGGAACTCACAGCGATCCACATGCCTCTGCCTCTCCATAGCTGGGATTAAAAATGTGTGCTGCCATACCCAGATTTTCTTTTTAAACTGCCAGATATAAGGCAGTATCCAAATGTTCTAGCAACTCAGAAACCCAGTCAGGGAGCATCAGTTCCTGCTTCATCATTTCACAGTATTCTACTGCATCTAATGTTTTTCATAGACTCCTGTTGAACACTGAGCTTACAGGAGAAGGGAACCATATTTTATACACCTTTAAATAAACAGGCTACGATGCGCAGGGCAGGGAGACCTTGGAAAACCCAACAGTCACCTGGTGGAGGTGAAAGAACTGGTGGAAGGGCCGGCACTGGGGTAAAATGCAGCGCTGGAGCCGGGTGTACTGCTCCTTGGCCAAGAGGGGCCATTTCAGTCGACTACCTCATGGCCTACGAGGAGTTTCTGAAGTGCCCCTAAGAACTTACGCAGATCAACCAATTGAGGCTGATGTAACAGTGATAGGTTCTGGCCCTGGAGGATATGTTGCTGCCGTTAAAGCTGCCCAGTTAGCCTTTAAGACAGTTTACTTTGAGACAAATGAAACTCTGGGTGGAACATGCTTGAATGTTGGCTGCATTCCTTCCAAGGCTTTATTGAATAACTCATTATTACCATTTGGCCCATGGAAAAGATTTTGCATCTAGGGGAATTGAAATATCAGAAGTTTGCTTGAATTTAGAAAAGATGATGGAGCAGAAGAGGTCTGCAGTAAAAGCATTAACAGGTGGAATTGCCCACTTATTCAAACAAAATAAGGTTGTTCACGTTAATGGATTTGGGAAGATAACTGGCAGAAACCAGGTGACGGCTACAAAAGCAGGTGGCAGCACTCAGGCTATTGGTACCAAAAACATTCTTATAGCTACGGGTTCAGAAGTAACTCCTTTTCCTGGAATCATGATTGATGAAGATACAATAGTGTCATCTACAGGAGCTTTATCTTTAAAAAAAGTTCCAGAAAAGTTGGTTGTTATTGGTGCAGGAGTAATTGGTATAGAATTGGGTTCAGTGTGGCAAAGACTTGGTGCAGATGTGATGGCAGTTGACTTTTTGGGTCATGTAGGTGGAATTGGAATTGACATGGAGATATCAAAAAATTTTCAACACATACTTCAAAAGCAAGGGTCTAAATTTAAACTGAATATCAAAGTTACTGGTGCCACCAAGAAGTCAGATGGGAAAATTGATGTATGTATTGAAGCTGCTTCTGGTGGCAAAGCTGAAGTTATCACTTCTGATGTTCTCTTGGTTTGCATTGGTCAACGACCCTTTACTCAGAATTTGGGACTAGAAGAGCATGGAATTGAGCTAGATCCCAGAGGTGGAATTCCAGTCAATACCAGATTCCAAACTAAAATTCCAAATATCTATGCTATAGGGGATGTGATTGCTGGTCCAGTGCTGGCTCACAAAGCAGAAGATGAAGGTATCATCTGTGTTGCAGGAATGGCTGGTGGTGCTGTGCACATTGACTATAATTGTGTGCCATCGGTGATTTACACACACCCTGAGGTTGCTTGGGTTGGCAAATCAGAACAGTTGAAAGAAGAGGGTATTGAGTACAAAGTTGGGAAATTCCCATTTGCAGCAAACAGCAGAGCTAAAACAAATTCTGATACAGATGGCATGGTGAAGATTCTTGGACAGAAATCAACAGACAGAGCACTGGGAGCACACATTCTAGGACCAGACGCTGGAAAAATGGTAAATGAAGCTGCTCTGGCTTTGGAATGTAGAGCGTCCTGTGAAGACATAGCTAGAGTCTGCCACGCACATCCGACTTTATCAGAAGCTTTTAGAGAAGCAAACCTGGCTGCATCGTTTGGCAAAGCAATCAACTTTTAAATTAGAAGAAGGTTTTTTTTTTTCTGAAATCTGGAATCTTTTGTAGAGGTCACATTTTTGAACAGCATAAACTCATAGTTCCAAGAATTTTTAGGATGGAATTATAAAACTTTTGGGAGGTATTTAATAGGTTTGAACAGAACGGAATAATCTTGTGTCTATATTTTAAGTAAATATCTTCTTTCAGTGCATTAACAGAGCAGACAAGACTGTATAGTAGTATCCTGGGAAGTTTTCAGCCTGCATTTTCATGCTATTTATAGAAGATTGGACCTCATTAAATTAACGTTATTTCTGATTCAGTGAGGTGGAATCTAAATCTACTTCATAAGGAAGGAGCTTGAGTATGGTACATGAACAGTTGTATTTGAATAAAACTGATGAAGTTGCTTTAAATTTAGTTTTCATATTGGAAACAAGTCACTGATTAGAACAAGATTCAAATATGTACAAACATGTAAATAAAAGTGACTGTCTCATTTTATTTAACTCCCAAATTCTTAGTTTAGAAGTAGAATTATGTGTTTAAGGGTTAAAGTTTTAGAAGGTCTGCAAGTCTGAAGGGCACTGCCCAAATGAAGATTCTGTCCGCAAAACAAAAATATTAAATGGAAACTCAAATGTATTATACCAAGGAATGAAGATATCAAAATAAACATGTCTTAAATACTTTAAAAAAATAGACAGGATACATATAGTCACAAAATTAATGTTTGTTTAAAAAAAATCATAGTATGGCTGGGCGTGGTGGCACATGCCTTTAATCTAGCTCTGGGGAGGCAGAGGCAGGGGGATCTTTGTGAGTTCCAGGCCAGCTGGGGCTACAGGAAGACCCTGTCTCAAAAGAAAAAAAAGAAGAAGAAAAATAATAAATAATAAATCATAATACGTCTTTACAATGTAGGAAAACATGCAATTTTTAAAAATATTTTATTTATTTTTTTATCTGTATGAGTATTGCCCACATGTAGGTAAATGCACCTGTGTCGTGCAATGCCCACGGAGGACTGAAGAGGCCATTGGATCCTCTGGAACTGGAGTTATGGACAGTTATTAGCTGCCATGTGGGTGTTGGGATTTGAACCCGGGTCTCCTGCAAGAACAACCAGTGTTCCATCTCTCCAGGCCCCATACATACAAAATAATTTTTAAAAAACATTTTACTGAGCCAGGCATGGTGGCACACACCTGTAGTCCCAGCACTTGGGAGGCAGAGGCAGGTGGATCTCTGTGAGTTCAAGGCCAGCCTGGTCTACATAGTGAGTTCCAGGACAGCTGGGGCTACAGGGAGACCCTGCTTCCAAAAGACAAAAAAAAAAAAAAAAAGCATTTTCCTTATTTTTATTTTATGTGTATGAGTGTTTTGCCTGCATGTATGTAAGTGCACTCATGTCTTGCAATGCCCATGGTAGTCAGAAGAGGTCAGATTCCCCTGGAACTGGAGTTACAGACAGTTAAAAGCCACCATATGGGTGCTGGGAATCGAACCTGGGTCCTCTGTAAGAGCAATCAGTGCTCTTAACAGATGTGCCATCTCTCTAGCCCACAAAAATAATTTTTAAGCACCTAGATTCACCTCTGCACTGTTCTGACATTGCCACAAGAGCACTGAGGGTTCATTCAGGGGTCTGGTGTGACAGGTAATGGCACAGGAAATTCTGTGCCTGCATGATATATGCATCAGTGCCTGTTCAGCACTTTGCTTTTGAAGCATAGAGGACTCAGCTCACTGCAAAGACTGACCTGTAGCTCACAGTGCCCAGGCCACTTAATGGGTAGGAATGGCTACTAAACAATTTTTTTGAGGTCTCTCTGTAGCCACAGCTGGCCTGGAACTGGCTATGTAGCCCAAGCATACCTCAATCTCATAGAGAGCCCCCTGCCTCTGCCTCCTGTGTGTTGGGATTAAAGGTATGCACCACCACACCCAGCACACTGAACAATCTTAGTCTGTTCTTCAGTAGCTGCTAAAATGGAAGTAAAGCTCAAGCTTTCCTCCTTTAAACACAGACAACATATTTACATAATTCATTTTACACTGATGGTAAATATTATACTAGAGTTTATCACTAAACTAACTTTATTTGTTCCCTTCTAAATGCCTATTCAATATCTGGATATATTGTTTTTAAAAGTCCATGTGGAGATCATAAAGGGGTTAACAGGAACATCAGAAATAACAATTTAAAAGTTTGGGAGCTGGCAGGTGGGCGCAAAGCCTGGGTCTCCCTGTTGTACAATAAAGCCCTGAAGTTCAAAAAAAAAGAAAGTAAAAGAGACGGAAAATAAGCACCAGTTTATTTACTTTAAAAAAAATTATTTATTTGATTTTTCCTCTTCTGGAGAGGTGCTTAGAGGCATTCAAAATGTGTTTGACATACCATCAAAGGGTTTTGTACAATACAGCCTCTAACAAAACTAGGCTGTCTTGAACCCCTGGTAATAGGTTTGTTTACCTTTACACCAAGAGGGTTGGGAAAGCACCAGAACTGAGGGGGTGGTACTATGGATGCTGTGAGACCTAAAGCCCTTAGAGGATTATCTTAAAAAAAATAAAAATACAGGTCAGCAGGGCCTATGCTAAATGTGCTCATGGGAGGGTCAAGAAGCGTGATTTCCTTATGGAGGAGTGGAAAATTGTGAAAGAGAAGGCACAAGCACAGACTCAGAAAGCAAAATAAATATGAAGCTGTGAAGGGTTTTTTAGGGTTTTTTGTTTGTTTGTTTGTTTGTTTTTGGTCTTTCTGAGACAGGATCTCCCTGTAATCCTGAAATCACTATGTAGACCAGAGATCCACCTGCCTCTGCCTCTGCCTCCTGAGTGCTGGGATGAAAGACATGCATCACCACATTCAAAAACATGAAAACACGAAGTTTTTGTTTTCTTTTCTTTTTGGTCTTTTTTGAGACAGGGTCTCCCTGTAGCCCCACCTGGCCTGGAACTCACTATGTAGACCAGGCTGGCCTCAGTCTCACAGAGATTTACCTGCTTTTGCCTCCCAAATGCTGGGATTAAAGATATATGCCACAATGCCCCACCTCTCTCTCTCGCTCTCACTCTCGCTCTCTGACATTTCTTTGTAAATTGTCTTAGACCTTCTAAAGTTATGGAAGAACAAGTGACAATACTGGGTGAAAGAGGCTGGGTGAATCCTAGAATCCTGCCAGGTATGGTGGCATATGCCTATAATCCCGGCACTCTGGAGGCAAAGGCAGCAGGATCACTGCAAGTTCAAGGCCAGCCAGGTCTACATACCGAGTTCTAGGCCAGTCACGACTACATTTTGAGACTCTGTCTCAAAAATAAATAAGTAAATAAATAAAATAAAAAAGGATATGATGCAGGGTGTGGTGGCGCACACCTTTAATCCCAGCACTTGGGAGGCAGAGGCAGGCAGATCTCTGTTAGTTCAAGGCCAGCCTGGTCTACATAGTGAGTTCCAGGACAGTTGGACCTACAGGGAGACCCTGTCTCAAAAAGACCGAAAAAAAGATATGAATGTTTAAAAGGGCAATTTTCAATATAAAGTTGTAAATTGACCATATTTTCAGTTGAGAGATACTTAGGTAGTTCTGAAAAATAGAAATATGTAGAACATTGGCAGTAACTGTCATCCTGGATTCCTCTGGGAATCAGGGAAGGTTTCCTAGAGGAAGTATTACCTTGAGCTGTGTCTTAACCAGGACTGCAGAGAAAGAGTTAAGAATACAGCATTGGGGGGCTGGAGAGATGACTCAGCAGTTAAGAACACTGACTGTTCTTGCAGAAGACCTGGGTTCGAATCCCAGCACCCACATGACAGCTAACAACTGTCCATAACTCCAGTTCCAGGGGATCCAACAGCCTCTTCTGTCCTCTGTCGGGCATTGCACGACACCGGTGCACTTACCTACATGCAGGCAATACATGCATACGCATAAAATTAAAATAATAAAATATTTTTTTTTAAAAAAAAGAATACAGCATTGGTACTTACACGGACTCTAAAGATCAAGCCTGGAGTCTACCAACTGGTAGAATATCTGAAGTCTGCCAACTGAAGTCAGGACCCTGAAAGGAGAGTAAAGTGGTGTTTTGGATTGGCTATGCAGGACGTATTCCCCAAAAAGGTTCATTTATTGAAAGCTTGATCTACCACATAAGCAGTGTTTGGAGGTTTACTTTTGGAAAGTGGGTTTTGAGGGCTCTTACCAACAGACTAATTCACTGATGGGTCATCACTGAAAGGATTATTGGGCGGTAATAAAAATTGTTAAAAGTGGGATCTACCTGGAGGAAGTAGGGCACTGGGGACATGATTTTGAAGCACATGTCTTTCACTGGCTCCTTCCCCTCTCTCTGCCTTGGCTGCCATGAGGTAAGCATCTCTGCTCCACCTCATCCTTTCCAGCTCATCACTGATCTAGAAGCCAGGTGACCTTTGAGACCTCTAAAAACCATGAATTCCTCCTTTAGGTTGTTTTTCTGCAGCTAGAGAGATGGTTCGGTGGTCAAGAGCACTGACAGTTCTTGTAGAGGCTTCCAGTTCGAATCCCAGCACCCACATGGCAGCTAATAACCATCTATAACTCCAGTTCCAGGGAATCCAATACCCTCTTTTGTCGTCCATGGACATTGCATGACACAGGCACACTTACATACATGCAGGTAATACACTCATACACATAAAAAATAATAAATAAAATAAGGTCCTCATGTTTGCAGGACAAGCACTTTACCCACTGAGCCATCTCTTGCCAACTTCCTTCTCTCTGCAAAAAACCAACTATTTAAAATAGCAATCAGATGCACACCTTTAATCCCAGCACTTGTGAGGCAGAGGCAGGTGGATCTCTATGAGTTCGAGGCCAGCCTTGTCTCTATAGCAAATCCAGGTGGCTACAGGAAGAACTTGTCTCAAAAAGACCAAAAAAA